GGTTGTTCCTCCCCAGGTGCAGGACCCTGCACTTGCCCTTGTTGAATTTCATCAGGTTCCTCTCTGCCCAACTTTCCAGCCCGTCCAGGTCTCGCTGAATGGCAGCTCAGCCTTCTGGTGTATCTACCACTCCTCCCAATTTGGTGTCATCAGCAAACTTGCTGAGGGTACATTCTAACTCTTCATCCAGGTCATTGATGAAGAAATTGAACAAGACTGGGCCGAGTACTGACCCCTGGGGGACACCACTAGTTACAGGCCTCAATAAGTGATAAGTGTTGGCATTTGGTGGTGGAAAAGGTGAAGTTGACAGGAACGTGGTTGTCTCTTCCCTGGGACAAATGAGCACCTACCTTTGGTGTCTTGAAAAAAAACAGCAGAGTTGGGGAGGTTTTGTCATTGTGACAGCGTGGGAAAGGGGTGTGTGAGAGATCAATTAAAGACTGCTGTCTGGTGCTCCAGTGCAAGGCTCAGCTTACTCAATAGTATCTTTCATGTCTTCAGATGATCTCATCCCTCCTTCGGATCTGCTCGAGTTGATTGTTTCCTGGATCTTTGAAGACCCCCGCTTAATCCTCATCACCTTTCTGAACACTCCTATTGCAGCCAACCTGCCAATAGGGTTTTTAGAGCTCACCCCACTGACTGGACTGATCCGTTGGTGCGTGAAGGCCCCCTTGGCTTATAAAAGGAAGAAGAAAGCGTCTCTCTCAAATGGACATCCCCCCAGCAAAATTGCCAAGGACTCGACTTCAGGAGAAGACAGAGATTGCCACCAGCTCTATTCAAAACTGCATCTAAGTGTCCTGCAGGTCCTTATGATGCTTCAGGGGCATTTAACGGAGAAGAATCTTTATGGGCGCCTGGGGCTAGTACCCTTTGACCACGTGGTTCCGCTCGTCGAGGAAATGAACAGACTGTCTGACGAACTCAATCCTCTCAATGCATCCAAAGAGATTGAACTGGCTCTAGACAGACTGGCCCAGGCTTTGCAAGTGGCCATGGCATCGGGAGCGCTCCTGTGCACCAGAGGTAAGTTGTTGATGGGGTTGGTGGAGACCCTGACACGGGATTCTTTTCCTACAGTGTGCAGAAGATGTAAGAGGGAGTTTTCGGGTGAGAGGAGTAAAGATCAACATGTTCACAGCAAAAGTAGTAGTTTGCTGCTCTTAGGAAGTGACAGTGTGGGAAATAGTTCAGGAAAAATAGCTGGATGGAGAGTCAGGAACGAGAGATATTTTATGCAGGTGGCTGGTGCGTTGCTTTGCAGAGCTGAAGAACCGGTCTTCGACCTTGCAGTGCGCACACGGGGGTTATATCTGGGTGTCCGGCACGGGGACAAATTTGACCCCCTCGGAATTGCTCGTAGCTATTTAAAAAGCACTGTTTAATTGTGCTTCAGTTTGACTCCCCTGAGATTGCCTGCTGGAGGAGAGACCGTGAAGCAGGTGAAGCGTGGGGTGGGTGTGCTAGAAAAGGAGTTTTGAAAGCAAACAAAAACTGTTCATCTGCAACTTGTGGGCCTTCAGCTCCCCTGCAATGAGACCCCGTTACAGTGTCTACAGTTTCAGTTCAGCTTAGTAAAGAAGCTGGCTATCGTGGCTTTTGTCTGCCTGTCCTGCTGCCAAAGCCAGTTCTTTCCGAAAGACCTGCAGAGGTGAAAATGGGATGTGTCTCAACACAGCGTGGGGTCCAACAGACAGGCTGTTTTCTTGATGCATTCTCCTGAAAACAGGTGATTTTTAGTGTGACCAGAAGGCTTAAAGCTCCCCAGCAGAGCGGCCTCAGCCGGTGCCTGAGGCTTTTGCCCTGGCTGACTCAGTGCTGCTGGTCGAATCTCAGTGTTCTTCTTTCTAAGCTTTTATAAAGTAGCTGTGGGTGTAACAAGAACAAGCAGAAAAGTGGAGTTTTTTGAGTTGATGGCTTACTTCAGCTGTGTTTTTCCTTAGCTATTCAGCTGGTACATTCTGAGCGCTTGCTCTTACCGTAGAAGTGGATGGTAGTTCGGTGTTTAAGTAGCTGCTGAAATACCAATTATTTGAGCGTTTTGGGGGTGCGTTCATCTACAAAGGCAGGAGTTTGTTCTTAAGCTGTTCCTGAAAGGACTCTAGCAACAGGGTGTGTTGTTAAATACCTTGGTCCTAGCTATTCTGCTTTAGCTGAAGTTTGGAGATGGTAAAAAAGGTGCCGTTTCTGTTTGACAGACCTCAGCAAAAAAACCCCCCAACCCTTTCTTTACACTAGCACTGCTTAAAAACACCCAAAACCAATACAAAATGTATTCTGGATAAGCTTTGCCTTGCTTTGACCTGATGCCATACTCACCATAAATGCCATGTTCAGTGAGCAGAGTTTCCTATGTCTTAGTTACTTCTTGTTAGTGTATTGGTATCGCAAATTGTACACTAGGGCTTGGTCTGCCTCAAAATGGAGCTGCATTTCCCGCGTGACAGCATAGGTTAAGTGTGGAACATACAATAAAGTGTCTGGTGTGGAAAGCTGAGGTAATAATTGGTGAGGTGGAGAAACATTTTCTCTCTATGGAAGTTTTTGGCATGAGGGTGGGATTCTGGATCTGTTGATCACTGGAGGTTTTTGCAGTAACTGGACCTTCCTAGAGAGAGGAGTGCAGAGGAAAACGGCTTTAATTTCTGCTTTACCCTTATTGTTATGTCTTCTGTCCTCTTTCAGATGACCTCAGAACTCTGTGCTCCAGGCTACCGCATAACAAGTAAGAGACCTTTCTGCAGCTGTGTTGGTTTTGATGCATATTCCAAGATACACACTTGAGGGCTGTTGAGGCAAAATCTCCTCTAAAAATTCGGGTTTACTTTCTGGAAGTTGGCCTTTACTCACATGCAGTTTGGCACAGGAATAAAGGTGATAGTGTTGGTTACTTCTTCCCTGGCAAGCTGGACTCTTGGCTGAAGGAGACTTCAGTGGCTCCCACCATACAGATACCATGCTGGGCCTGTGTTAGAACAAACGCACGGAAAGGGAAAATGAAATTAAAGTGTGGAACCTGCCCCAGAGTTGTCCCATCCCCAGCTCCCCGCTTGTTTTACCTGACCCTGAAAAAAGAGTCTGCAGGAAGCTGTAAAGAGCGCGATTGAATCACTGTCCTCTTGGCTCTCAGCAGTGCTGTGTGTTGGTTATGAGCTGTCCGCAGAGCCAGGCCCTGTGGGCAGGGGAGAGCCACGACACAACTCTTCTCTAAACAATCCTCATGCCTGTCTGAACTTCTCTCCACAGCCTCCTCCAGCTGGTGATTTCGGGTCCAGTCCAGCAACCGACCCACGGCGCTCTCCCACCAGGATTTTATCCTCATATCCACACTCCTCCTCTAGGCTACCCCGCGCACGCCGCCCACCCGGCGCTCCCGGCTCACCCAGCGCTCCCGGCTCACCCTGTGCAAACGTTCATACCTGGAATGACGTTCCCGTACCGACCTATTCGCTAAAATGCTAAGACTGTAGAGTGTACCCAGTGTCCCGTAGTTTGAGGAAGCCTTGCAGATGAAACCAAATGTCTCGAGAACCGCGTTTTCCTCTTTGGTGTAAAGCTGAGCAGTGCTGGCGTGAGGGATCAGCCCTTCGGCGGCAGCAGCGAAGCCGCAGGCGGGTCGGCTGCAGTCCGTCCGGACATGGGATGCAGGTGCTGAGGCAGATCATGGGGACGAAAGGAGGGGGTGGGACAAGGCAGCAGAAACCCCTGACCTCTGTGGCGTGTGGGATTTTTTTACGACCGCATTGTTTCATATAATCGCCAAGGGTGTGATATTTCTCAATCATGTGTTTTTTCAGTCGCCCCGCAGGTCTTGCGCTAGGAGATCCAGAAGCAAAGGCGTGAGATTTTTCCAGCTAGTCAGCTCCAGCCTGCTCGTTTCTTTGTAAATGTTTGTATCTATAGCCACAGAGTACATGTACACTGTATATTTTTGGAACACAAATGTTTGTTTCAGAAGCACAAGGTAGAATAAAGCAGCACTTCCTATTAAAGGAAACAATTTAAGAAGTGTGAAGAATTCTGCCGCTTTATCTTTCAAATAGCGATTAGAAGGTCAGGAAATCAGAAGATTGTTAGATCTTCAATTAGAAGATCAGGAAATCCCCTCTTCACACGCCTCGGTCAGCAAGTCATGAACCTTTGGGGTGAGATCCGGTGTGTTTAGTTAATGGTAGCTTGAGAACAAGCCAGAGGCCAGCTGTGGTGTGCTGGCCAGCTCTGGGCGAGGCGCAGGCGGGCGCGGAAGCATCACGGGAAGGGCAGCAGAGCTTGTTGTGTGTGTCGTGACAGTGAAACGCCTGACCCAAGCCCCGTTAGTTGAGCTAACGTCCTGCTGCGATATCCAAGACCCCTCCGCTGGGTGAAAAAGAAAGAAAAAAGGGTCTTTTCTACACATTCCTGGCTTTGTTACAAGGACCTCAACCACTGTTGTCCTCATCGGAGGAGATGCGGTGGCTGCGGTCACCTGGTTGCACGCTGGCTGGAAAGAACAGATGAACTAGGTGGGAGCTGTGAGAATCTGAGTTGGATGAAGCAGCTGGAGAGGAAATGGTGTTTGTTGGGAAGGTAAATAATAATAAGGCAATAATAAGCTTTAACTTCTTGGTCAGGCAGTTGGATTGATGATGGTCGTAGGTCCCTTCCAACTATCCTATCCTATCCTATCCTATCCATGTCGTAGAGCTTCAAGGACAAGGAAAAACCCTTCAAAACCTCGAATTTCAGGATTTTTCAGGATTTAGGGTCATTGTTGGCAACGCGATGGGTCCCCCCAGCGCCTCTTGCAGTGCAGGACTGGGGGGGAGGGGAACTGCAGGAGAGGCGTGCGCCCAACCTGCCTCCCGTTTCCCAAGCGCTCGTGCTCAAGGCTGCATCGCTAATTTTAAATCTCCCCTTTAATTAGCAGCTTTAATTCCGCGCTGCGCTCGCTGCCCACGTGGCCTCAGGGAGCGGGAGGGGGGAGCTGCCCCTCTGCGCCTGCGCGGCGCCC